AATAGACTCTGAGGTGTCCCTGTTTGCAGATGACGTGAAGTTGATGAGAAGAATACACTCGATCGAAGACCAGGCAGAACTACAAAGGGATCTGGACAGGCTGCAGACCTGGTCCAGCAATTGGCTCCTGGAGTTCAATCCCACCAAGTGCAAAGTCATGAAGATTGGGGAAGGGCAAAGAAGGCCGCAGACGGAGTACAGTCTAGGGGTCAGAGACTACAAACCTCACTCAAGGAAAAAGATCTTGGGGTGAGTAATAACACCAGGCACATCTCCTGAAGCGCACATCAACCAAATAACTGCTGCAGCATATGGGCGCCTAGCAAACCTCAGAACAGCATTCCGACATCTTAATAAGGAATCGTTCAGGACCCTGTACAACCGTATACGTTAGGCCCATATTGGAGTATGCGGCACCAGTTTGGAACTCACACCTAGCCAAGCACGTAAAGAAACTAGAGAAAGTGCAAAGGTTTGCAACAAGACTAGTCCCAGAGCTAAGAGGTATGTCCTACGAGGAGAGGTTAAGGGAAATCAACCTGACGACACTGGAGGACAGGAGAGATAGGGGGGACATGATAACGACATACAAAATACTGAGGGGAATTGACAAGGTGGACAAAGACAGGATGTTCCAGAGATTGGACACAGTAACAAGGGGACACAGTTGGAAGCTAAAGACACAGATGAATCACAGGGATGTTAGGAAGTATTTCTTCAGCCACAGAGTAGTCAGTAAGTGGAATAGTTTGGGAAGCGATGTAGTGGAGGCAGGATCCATACATAGCTTTAAGCAGAGGTATGATAAAGCTCACGGCTCGGGGAGAGTGACCTAGTAGCGATCAGTGAAGAGGCGGGGCCAGGAGCTCGGACTCGACCCCCGCAACCTCAACTAGGTGAGTACAACTAGGTGAGTACACACACACACACACACACACACACACACACACACACACGTACACACACACACACACACACACACACACACACACACACACACACACACACACACACACACACACACACACACACACACACACACACACACACTTTCCTCCCTAAACATTCATAGGCGTGATAGGTCAGTTGTGATATCAGAGGCTAATATCTGCTATGAGTACACTGATCCTTTACAATTCTTTTCTGGAAGACTACTCTTCTCTGCTCTTCATGCACTTCTCACTTTGTTTTATAGAGCCTCCCATCCCTGCACCTGGTGCTACGTGTGTACCTAAACCTATATTGACTTTTTTCTGGGAAACAGAAATGTTTGAAAAAAATAGCTGCATTTCTTGAAGAGACACAGACAAACTCAGACCTTGGTAAACCCTGTCTGGTACGCAGACAATCCCAGGAACTCTTCCTCAGTTAGAATTAAGTGTCTAAACTCTGCTCACAATAATAACACCAACGTTATAACGTCTTTCTCTACGTATCATGACAGTGATCATCACTCCTTCATGAGTATAACACAACACCTCACTTCTCAAACTCCCACGTACACACGTTTCTAACAGCACCAAGCAAACTACCACACAGAATCCTTGTCGTGACTCTGACCCTACCACTGCATATTGACTTGACTAACGACTCTTATGCATAGTCATCTTTTAAGTGTCTACTCTATGCACTTAATGTTGCAGTGACATATCGCCGGATCCAGGGGAAAGCAGTGTTCCCTGTATGTATCTGTCTACAAGAAACCAAACTACTTAATACCGCGGGACCTGCAGTCTCTGGCTGTTCTTTTACAAATTATCGACTTTTATCCATTCTTATACAAACTATTGACTCATCCACTCTTATCCAAACTATTGACTCATCCACTCTTATCCAAACTGTTGACTCTTATCCACGTCGTGTTATACAGAGCTCAGTGAACAAGTATAGTATATATATCTACCACAGTCGTCACTACCTCCATCAACACAGTATGGGGGAAAGATGCAAAAATAAAACTATTCTTAACTTTGCTGGTTCGAAATGGTGTACTGCCCACACTAGGGAAGGACAAGACACGTCGCAGAAGAAACTTTTATTGGCACAACGTTTCGCTCTTTGTAGAGCTTTAGCATAGAACGAAACGCATTTCAGAAGTTCGTTCAGCAAAGTATCTCTCGTCTTCTCTTTGCTGATGGAGAGTTAGTCAGCATTTTGTGGTAGTTTGAAGAAGCATGGACATACCTGGAGGATATTCCGGGGGTTAGCGCCCCCCACAGCACGGTCCATGACCACGCCTCGCTGACAGTTACGATAGAACAAAGACAGTTATAGCAAAGCAAGACTGCACAAAGTTTCGCTCACTTGTGAACTAAAAGTTGTAGAAGTAAAGGCTTATTCTGCTCGGATGATGTTAGGTTAGGTAAGATTTGTCAGGAAACAGGACAAGTGTTTCCTGACGCGGGTCTTAGTCATATGATGACTGCAGCTGGAGCTTTTGGTCATCTGACCGAGGCCTTACGCTGGCTTACCCGTCCACCCCTTTAAAAATTATGGTTATAATTATAACCATTTCATATTCCTTCTGCTCTGAGTGTTTGTATTATCATAACCTATAACACAGCAGTAGCAGCAGCAGCAGCAGCAGCAGCAGCAGCAGCACGTCTTGCTTCTCTGAGTGCAGCAAGCGGAGTGATGATCATTTACACATTTTAGGCCCTAGACCCCAGACTAGGTGGTAAGCCCAAGGCCCAAGATGGTAAACCCAAGGCCCTAGGTGGTAAGCCCAAGGCCCTAGATAGTAAACCCAAGGCCCTAGGTGGTAAGCCCAAGGCCCTAGGTTGTAAGCCTAAGGCCCTAGGTGGTAAACCTAAGGTCCTAGGTTGTACGCCCAAGGCCCTGGGTGGTAAACCCAAGGGCCTAGGTGGTAAAGCCAAGGCCCTAGATGGTGAAACCAAGGCCCTAGGTCGTAAGTCCAAGGCCCTAGGTCGTAAGTCCAAGGCCCTAGGTCGTAAAACCGAGGCCCTAGGTAAGGTTTCTTAATTTATATTTCGACGTGGGATTTTTAAGCAGTAGAGACCTCGTTGATATTTTATTGGATATCTCTTCTAGGAGGGTGCCTTGATCCTGGGGGCTCTTGATTAAAGGAATTTGATCTACCTTTCCCTCCCCTGGATCAAACCTCATTATTTCCCATTCCCAGGTGCTGTATGGCCCCTACGGGTTTTTCATTTCCCTATAAACATGTCATGCCGAATAGGTAAAACTTGCGATTTTGGCATAAATAGCAACGCTCTTCTTGCCGAATAAGGCAAGCGAAAATTTGTGTATGCAGTAGTTTCGCAAAAATCATTCTGAACCCAACGAAAAAAAAAAATCATTGTTTGTTTATTATTAAATTATTGTAAACTTGTTTAAAATATATTTAGTTAGATTAGGCTAAATTAAAATTAGCTTGTTATAATAAGGTTAGGTAAGTTTTCTAAGGTTCTTTTGGTACAAAGTTATTAATTTTTACATTAACATAAATGAAAAAATATATATCTTTAAATATATAAGAGAAAATTTTAGAAAGACTTAATTTTAAATGAGTTCTTGCTAATTGACCAGTTTTACATATTCGGCACGACATTATATAATCACATTTTGTAGAAGGCAAAAATACCTGGCTGTTTATAGTCATAACAAAAGTTTATTTGCATAGTATTTACAAAAATAATATTTTAGTTCATTATAGTGAAAATTAAATATGAGATACAGTAATGAAAGTGACAAGTTACAATGTTTGGGAAAAGTCGATTTGTGTTGTGTGATCACTTTCTTAATATGTTAAGGCATTGTCCATTTTTCATGACCTTACGAATTGGTCGGAGGGACAGCAAGTGTTTGTAGGAGGCTGGTGTGCTATACATTGTTTTTTAATGGACAGTAAGGAAATAGCAACATGTCAACAGTGAGACATGTTTAGTAGTAATTCAAATACCGTTTATACTGAGCCTCGCTTGTTAGCCATGATGCGAACCCCGACAACCAGACAGGTCTGTGATACCCGTGGTAGCAAGATTTCCACTAGATCTTTCGTATCTCATATGATGATCAGTAGCAGCTTTCAAGCTCTTAAAATCTGAAGATTCGACCTCTGTCTTGTGTTGGAAGACCTGCAGCCTTTAGTCTGAAGACTGTGTAAGCAAGTCATAAGCCTCGTCCATCTTGAGAAAAACGACATTGAAATTGTAGCTGAAGAAAGTAAGCGATGGTGAAGTTAATGGTTACTTATGAAGATGATAGTGAAGAAAATGAGTAATAGTTAAGTTCAGGACTGCAAGTGAAGGAAATGATTTAATGGTATAGTTAATGATGGCTGCTGAAGGAAAGTAATGATAAAATTAATGGTTGAATCTGAGGAGAATGAGTACAGGTACTGTTGAGGATAATTTATTATGGATGATAATAAGAAGTAAGTAGTTGATTAAGATGCTGATGGAGACTTGAAGATGATGTTTGAAAATGATGATGATGAGGTTTGAAAACGACGATGAGGTTTCATATTGATGAGGTTTGAAGAGTTCGGCATTAACAAAGGCGGTGGTAGCAGGCACTGAAGGCATGGATATGGCGTCCAGCTGCTCTACCATCCCAGGTATCGAGAAGGTCGAAGCCTCATGAACATAACCAGTTCAGTGGTTCAGTAACCAAGCTGCAAGGTTTCCACCCCAGTAACACGGATCAAATGTGGCTCTTGGCTTTAGAGACTGCTGTAGCCTCGTGAGGCTTAGCGCTTCTTTTTGATTATAATAATAATGTAGCCTCGTGATCTCTTAATACATTTGTGTTCTCAGGACATCAAAAAAGTTTCACGATCTCTCTCCGTTGATGGATCCTTCTTAAAGAGTCGAAGTAGAGTTCGATCCTTCTTAAAGAGTCGAAGTGAAGTTCTGTCTTCCCTGGCCCTCCGGCACATCGTTCTCATCTTGTTGACTAGATATACACTAGATATAAATAAACTATTTACATTTGTATATACACTGGCAGGCTCACCATTTAAATAACAAAGCATTAACATCTAAAAAGCCTCACAATTGGAACACGGGTAGTCCTTCAGGAAGCGTTCTGGACTGAGTCTTAAAGCATTAACACTGGTCAGAGGACCTCAACACTCATGAGGCTGTCGAGTCTTGTTACACACTCATACACACCTCTGGCCATCTCTGTATAGCAACAGCGGTGAGAGGAGGTACTGGGTAGATGAAGCATAGACTCTTCACTTGTTGAGGACATGCGAGAGCGCCTCTTTCATCTGCTCTTCAGGGAAGATACTGCGTCTGTAGCGTACCAGCCTGGGAGCAGCTGGGCCTGGCAGTACGCGGCGGATGAAGGAAGTCGAAGTGCGGCTCTCAGTCATCATAGGCTCGAAGTCGGCACTGGCCTTGATGCCTACAGGTCCTGAGGACTGGCTTGCCACTTGAGGGGGAGCCGCTACACGCACGGCGTAGGGGTGACTGCTTGTGGCGTGGGCTGAGGTGAATTTGGCAGGGGCAGGGACACGTACGGCGTAGGGATGAGGGTCATTGGCAACCTTGTGACTTCCGAAGGAGGAGGAGTAAGGTCTGTCCTGAACCTCGTTCATTAGGTCATAATCTGCAATAAAAAAATGAACACGTTAGCTACCCTAACCAACATCCTAAGTCCAAAATAATGGACTACCATACCACGGGCGGGATTGAACCCGCGGTCAGAGAGTTTCAAAACTACCATTTGTTTAGTTAATGAAATGTTCAATGTACTCGTTCACTGAAATGTGAATATTATGTGCCCACTTTGTTACATTATTTTACAGCTCAAAAGTAGCACATTATCATATCTGACAATATACAATGTGTTCCTAAACATATAAAAAGAAAAAAATGCAATTTATACAAACTTTCATGGAAAGAAATATGTATCAAAAACTTTAGAGATACACTCACCTTCATCACTAGCAGAAACACTCTCAGGGTAGAAAGTGTTGTAGGAAGGAAGCTTGAAATCGCCCTTCATGACCCTGTCCCAGATGATGCCTCGGGAGTTGCTCTGGTAAGGGTCCATGAAATCTAGTGAATTGTCCTCCTCGTTGAGCAGGTTAGACATGCCGTACAGAGTGAGAACTTTGCGACAGTCTGCAACAAGAACAGAAACGTGGGTGAGTAAGACGAACAAAATACTGCAGTTGGTGTCTCTGTACACACACACACACACACACACACGATGTCGTAAACCCGCGTGGGTCATTCAGCGACAGGAGCGTGAGAAGTTTGAACCCCGTCCACTGGTCAGATGGCAAAACAAGATAGGAGAACGTGTATCAGATAAGGAATGCATGGAGAATTTTTTTTATTAATATTATCTCATTCTAGCATGACGGAGTGAAGACTTTTTTAACGTACCAGCAGTCTCCCGCTGAAGCAGGGTGACCCAAGAAGAAACACGAAAATATTTCTTTTTACATTTAGTAATTTATACAGAAAGGGGTTACTAGCCCCTTGCTCTCGACATTTTTAGTCGCCTCTTACGACACTCATGGCTAACGCAGGAAGGATTTTTCTCTAGTTCCCCATGGAGTGAGGAAATGTACTTTAAAATGCTCCACATCCAACTAAGTATATTTCACTTCCTCTTAGAGCTGCACGATACATTATTACTGAGGTTACTGAACCATTTAAAAAAAATATATTGTTTATTCAAACATGGCTTACAATGAGTGTTAATGTATGCCTACTTGAGCTTTAAGTACAGTTATTTCTTACGAATGGGAACAGAGGTTAAATGTTAAAATATGAAGTGATTAAATCTGTATAGGTCAGGGATACCTAAACTGATACCGCAGCACATTATGAAGTTCACGCAGCTTGGATGAACCCAAGAGGAGTGTTGTCAAGACTGCTGAAGATACGTCAACAAATGAATGTTGGAAGATGTTCTAAAATATCATCTCGGTGTCTCTGATTTTTGAAGATAATCATTGAAAGATAATTCTCGTGCGGTCATAGAGAGAAGAAATTTTTAAGTCAGGTAGGTAGGTAGCCAATTACACGTATTGTTAGATAAAAAGGACACAAGTACAACTAATGCGACATTTTATTGTAGCAACGTTTCGCTCTCCAGGAGCAACTAATGTCGCATTAGTTGCACTTGTGTCATTTTACTTAATATATTGTCGGTAATTCTACCAACATTATTAATGAAGATAATCTAAGAGTGGCGATTAACAGAGGACTGATAATTTGTAGATTCTTTATGTATGTGTATGTGTGTGTGTGTGTGTGTGTGTGTGTGTACTCACCTATTTACTCACCTATTTGTGGTTGCAGGGGTCGAGTCTTAGCTCCTGGCCCCGCCTCTTCACCGGTTGCTACTGGGCCCTCTCTCTCCCCGCTCCATGAGCTTTATCAAACCTCGTCTTAAAACTGTGTATGGTTCCTGCCTCCACTATGTCATTTTCTAGGCTATTCCACTGCCTGACAACTCTATGACTGAAGAAATACTTCCTAATATCTCTCTGACTCATTTGTGTCTTCAACTTCCAATTGTGGCCTCTTGTTTCTGTGTCCCCTCCCTGGAACATCCTGTCCTTGTCCACCTTGTATATTCCACGCAGTATTTTATATGTCGTTATCATGTCTCCCCTGACCCTCCTGTCCTCCAGTGTCGTCAGGCCGATTTCCCTTAATCTTTCTTCATAGGACATTCCCCTTAGCTCTGGAACTAACCTTGTCGCAAACCTTTGTACTTTCTCTAGTTTCTTGACGTGCTTTATCAAGTGCGGGTTCCAAACAGGTGCTGCATACTCCAGTATGGGCCTGACATACACGGTGTACAGTGTCTTGAACGATTCCTTACTAAGGTATCGGAATGCTGTTCTCAGGTTTGCCAGGCGCCCATATGCTGCAGCAGTTATCTGATTGATGTGTGCTTCCGGAGACATGCTCGGTGTTATACTCACCCCAAGATCTTTCTCCTTGAGTGAGGTTTGCAGTCTTTGGCCACCTAGCCTATACTCTGTCTGTGGTCTTCTGTGCCCTTTCCCTATCTTCATGATTTTGCATTTGGCAGGATTAAATTCGAGAAGCCATTTGCTGGACCAGGTGTCCAGTCTGTCCAGGTCTCTTTGAAGTCCTGCCTGGTCCTCATCAGATTTAATTCTCCTCATTAACTTCACATCATCTGCAAACAGGGACACTTCTGAGTCTAACCCTTCCATCATGTCGTTCACATATACCAAAAATAGCACTGGTCCTAGGACCGACCCCTGTGGGACCCCGCTCGTCACAGGTGCCCACTGTGATACATCATTACGTGCCATGACTCGTTGTTGCCTCCCTGTCAGGCAGTCTCTGATCCATTGCAGTGCCCTTCCTGTTATATGCGCCTGATGCTCTAGCTTCTGCACTAATCTCTTGTGAGGAACTGTGTCAAAGGCCTTGCAGTCCAAGAAGATGCAATCAACCCACCCCTCTCTCTCGTGTCTTACTTCTGTTGTTTTATCATAAAACTCCAGAAGGTTTGTGACACAGGATTTGCCTTCCATGAATCCGTGCTGGTTGGCATTTATATTCTTGTTCCGTTCCAGGTGCTCCACCACTCTCGTCCTGATAATCTTCTCCATAACTTTGCATACTCTACACGTCAATGACACAGGTCTATAGTTTAGTGCCTCTTTTCTGTCTCCTTTTTTAAAAATGGGAGCTACATTTGCCGTCTTCCATACCTCAGGTAGTTGCCCAGTTTCCAGGGACGTGTTGAAGATTGTGGTAAGTGGCACACACAACATATCTGCTCCCTCTCTAAGGACCCACGGGGAGATGTTGTCCGGTCCCATTGCCTTTGAGGTATCGATGTCCCTTAGCAGTTTCTTCACCTCCTCCTCATCTGTATGTATGTCGTCCAACACTTGTTGGTGTATTCCTTGCTGGTGTCCCCATCTGATCTGTCCCCCCAGAGTCCTTCCTGTCTCTACTGTAAATACTTCCTTAAATGTGTGTGTGTGTGTGTGTGTTAGCCATTATATTTTTTAACGAAATAAAATGATATTCGTTGAATTTCACTACGGTAAGAAAATACCGAGCAATTAACTGGTAAAACAATAAAAAACTTAATGAATAACAGTCAGAGGAGGATAAAGAATGGGCAGCAACGAAGAAGTATGGTCAGTGAGGTGATTTTTAAATTGAAAGATTGAAGATGGTAAGACTGGACAAGGATGATGAGGGACGGGGGGGGGGGGGATGAAGAAAGCGGCCACGGGAACACTCTACAGACTGGGGCAAGGTCTTCTTGAACGAACCTTCAGGGAATGATGAGGAGGGACGAACAGATGTGAAACAGACGAGCGATGTATTCTGGTGAGTGAGATTTCCAGACCTGTGGGGAATACCTGCTTCCACTACCACCACCACAACTACCCCCTCTACTACCACAACCAACCCCTCTACTACCACAACCACCCCCTCTAGTACCACATCCACCTTCTCTAGTACCACAACCACCCCCTCTACCAGAATCACCCCCTCTACCACCACAGCCACCTCCTCTACCACCACCCACTCTATCACTACCATATGTAGCACCTACAACCGCCCCTACAGCATCATCATCATTACCTCTCCTGTATATATATATATATATATATATATATATATATATATATATATATATATATATATATATATATATATATAATAACCATCCCTCTAGCACCACCACCACCACTTCTCCTCCAACCAAAACCACCCCATTCAGAACCTCTATCACCATCTCCAACACATACCACCTCATCCGAACTGCCACTACCACCATCACTTCACTATCTTCAGTAAAATATCTGGGAATTCAGTTTGGCCCAAGCATGTCAGTAGAATTAATAGTGAACAATGTAGTAAAAATATAAGCGAATGTCAAGCTAAAGTTCCTGTATAGACAGACACAGTGTGTATCTACTGAGGCTGGCACTGTCTAACTCTTATACACTGTCATGTTAGATTATTCTTGTTCTTCACGGTACTTTGCTTTAACAAAAATGAAAGACAAACTACAGATGATCCAGAATAAAATGGTGAGATTCATCCTGGACCTGGGTCCACAAGAGCATGTAAGCCAGGATGAATTACAACAGTATATGCTGAATCTTGAAGACAGAGCAAAGCAACTAAAGTTCAATCATGTTTTTAAAATTGCTCACAAGTAGTGTCAAGAATGTCTTGCTGCCAAGTTTGTCAAGGTTAGGAACCAAACCAGTATGGTACTAGCGGAAGTGATCACAATTTTGTAGTAGTTGCAGTAGGTGGTCAGGCCTCAAACACCTTTTATTGTACAACAATAAAGGAGTGGAACGAACTGTCTGAACATGTCAGCCTGAGCCAGTTCAGGAAGAGAGCTAAAAGGTACCTAATGACTGTAGCTACAGAAAGGGAGGAGAGTGATTTATTGTATAGTTAACATTCATGTACCTTTTATTGTGATCTGATCCTCTCTTTAATGTTCATGTAAATAACTTGGTTCACTGTATTCCTATTGTATCTCCTTTTACTGTAACTTATTTTTCACACAGTAGAGTTACATAGCTGTTTTATTTTTTAAGGTTATAATCATGACTGATTTCTACTGTATCTTACAGCTAGGCTTTAAATAATATTATAATGACCCCAATGGAAATAAGTCACTTTGACTTTTTTGGGTTATCCTCAGTAATATACACATATGTTACTGTGTATAATTGTACTTATGTGTACCTGTACCTAAATAAACTTACTAATATCCACTAATGTCACAACCATCACCACTGCACCTCGAATACAATCACCACTACTACCAATACCACCAACACCTCCGGGCATCCTGGTCTGGTTTGGGAAGGCCAGACGGGCACACAGGCAGACAATGAAAAATTTCCTATACGATGCAGGGAGAAAAAAAAGTTTTTTTTTTTTATGTCTTCAGTCAGAGATGGGGGAGAGGTAGGAGAATGGGAGGGTGAGGGAAGGAGATGGAAGGGTGAGTGTAGGAGAGAGATGGAAGGGTGAGTGTAGGAGAGAGATGGAAGAGTGTAGAAGAGAGATGGAAGAGTGAGTGTAGGAGAGAGATGGAAGGGTGAGTGTAGGAGAGAGATGGAAGGGTGAGTGTAGGAGAGAGATGGAAGAGTGAATGTAGGAGAGAGATGGAAGGGTGAGTGAGAAGAGGATGGAAGGGTGAGTGTAGGAGAGAGATGGAAGAGTGAGTGTAGGAGAGAGATGGAAGAGTGTAGGAGGAGATGGAAAGGTGAGTGTAGGAGAGAGATGGAAGGTGGTGTAGGAGAGAGATGGAAGGGTGAGTGTAGGAGAGAGATGGAAGGTGAGTGTAGGAGAGAGATGGAAGAGTGAGTGTAGGAGATGAAAGATGAGTGTAGGAGAGAGATGGAAGGTGAGTGTAGGAGAGAGATGGAAGGGTGAGTGTAGGAGAGAGATGGAAGGGGGAGTGTAGGAGAGATGGAAGAGTGAGTGAAGGAGAGAGATGGAAAGGTGAGTGTAGGAGAGAGATGGAAGGGTGAGTGTAGGAGAGAGATGGAAGGGTGAGTGTAGGAGAGAGATGGATAAGAGTGAGTGAAGGAGAGAGATGGAAGAGTGAGTGTAGGAGAGAGATGGAAAAGGTGAGTGAAGGAGAGAGATGGAAGAGTGAGTGTAGGAGAGAGATGGAAGAGTGAGTGTAGGAGATGGAAGAGTGTGTGTAGGAGAGAGATGGAAGAGTGAGTGTAGGAGAGAGATGGAAGAGTGAGTGTAGGAGAGAGATGGAAGGGTGAGTGTAGGAGAGAGATGGAAGAGTGAGTGTAGGAGAGAGATGGAGAGTGAGTGTAGGAGAGAGATGGAAGTAGTGAGTGTAGGAGAGAGATGGAAGAGGTGAGTGTAGGAGAGAGATGGAAGAGTGAGTGTAGGAGAGAGATGGAAGAGGAGTGTAGGAGAGAGATGGAAGGGTGAGTGTAGGAGAGAGATGGAAGAGTGAGTGTAGGAGAGAGATGGAAGAGTGAGTGTAGGAGAGAGATGGAAGGGAGTGAGTTGTAGGAGAGAGATGGAAGAGTGAGTGTAGGAGAGAGATGGAAGGGTGAGTGTAGGAGATGGAAGAGTGTGTGTAGGAGAGAGATGGAAGAGTGAGTGTAGGAGAGAGATGGAAGAGTTACGGGATCGTTTGACGGCCTTGAAGACGTTTCGAACATTTAAAAAAATATTTTGGAAGTTTTAAAATCCCTTTGATGGTGGTGTGGTAGTGGTTATAGTGATGGTGGTGTGGTAGTGGTGATAGTGATGGTGGTGTGGTAGTGGTGATAGTGATGGTGGTGTAGTAGTGGTGATAGTGATGGTGGTGTAGGTAAGTGGTGATGTAGTGATGGTGTGTGTAGTGGTGATAGTGATGGTGGTGTGGTAGTGGTGATAGTGATGGTGGTAGTGGTGATAGTGATGGTGGTGTGGTAGTGATAGTGATGGTGTGGTAGTGGTGATAGTGATGTGGTAGTGGTGAGTGATGGTGTGGTAGTGGTGATAGTGATGGTGTAGTAGTGGTGATAGTGATGGTGGTGTGGTAGTGGTGATAGTGATGGTGGTGTGGTAGTGGTGATAGTGATGGTGGTGTGGTAGTGGTGATAGTGGTGTGGTAGTGGTGATAGTGGTGTGGTAGTGGTGATAATGATGGTGGTGTGGTGATAATGATGTTGGTGTGGTAGTGGTGATAGTGATGGTAGTGGTGTGGTGATAGTGATGGTAGTGGTGTGGTGATAGTGATGGTGGTGTTGTAGTGGTGATGCTAATGATAGTGGTGGTGGTGAGTTTTGTAAATAGAGTAATAACTGAGGTGGGAGATTTTAGAAAGGTGATGAGGATAGTGTTAAGTATTCTAGTGTGATTCAGTAGCCAGATACTGTGAGGGAAGGAGGTAGAGGGAAGGACTACGGTAGAAGGAAGGAGGTAGAAGGAAGGACTACGGTAGGGAGAAGGAGGTAGAAGGAAGGAGGTAGAAGGAAGGACTACGGTAGGGAGAAGGAGGTAGAAGGAAGGAGGTAGAGGGAAGGACTACGGTAGGAGGAAGGAGGTAGATGGAAGGACTACGGTAGGAGGAAGGAGGTAGAAGGAAGGACTACGGTAGGGGGAAGGAGGTAGATGGCGTTTAACAGATGAAGGAAGCGATTTCCAGGTGTTACGGAGTTGGGGAGTGGAGGAAGGGAGAAGGGAGAAGGGGAGAGGAAAGGGAGGCGGAGGGAAGGGGTGGGGTGTAGAGATGTAGGGAGTGGGGGGAGGGAAGCAGCCTGGAAGTTCCCAAACTGTATGTAGATAGAGACTAATTTGTTCTGTATAAATTACTTGTTTATGTTACTAGAGGAAGAGGGAGTGGGTGAGAGGGGAGAGAGGGAGGGGTGACAGGGAAGGGGAGGAGCGAGTTCCAGCATTTTGCAATTGCCTGGTTGTAATTGCCGGGGTCGTGGCTCCTGGGCCTGCCTACACCAGTTCGTTGCCTCGCGGGCTCTGTCGTACCTATACTTAAATCTTTGTAATATGCTTTCATAAACTCCTAGTCCTGGTCATTCCACTTCCTGAACATCATGAGGAGGATGAGTACTGATTCAGAGTACTGTTATCTGTCAGTGATTCTAGGGACTGTCTTCCATACGGGCTGGTCTCAGACCAGACCACCTTGGCTGGAAAGGATATATTACAGGATTTAGAACTATTAAGACGCACATAAAATAAAGGTGTGTGTGTGTGTGTTTATGGTGTTTAGAATGCTTATAAAAGATTGGCAGTCCTGCCAGAGTGCAAAACATTTAACAGGTTTCCAATTCCCAATCTTGACAGGATGATAGTACCTCCCTGGATGGTTGCTGTCTACTAACCTGCTACCCCAAATGGAACGATTAGTACTGGTGATAAGTACGCTGAGAGGATGAGTACTTGTGATGCGTACAATGAGAGGATGAGTACTTGTGATGCGTACAATGGGAGGATGAGTACTGGTGATGCGTACACTGAGAGGATGAGTACTGGTGATTCGTACAATGGGAGGATGAATACTGGAGATGAGTAGAATGGGAGGATGAGTACTCGCTTTCTGTCTGCCTGTCTGACCTTCCAGTGAACCCGGACCTGTAAATTGGCGCAATCTGGCAGCACCGCCAAAAGTCCAAGAGTGTAAGCGACCTCCAGGTGAAGCTGGAGTGTAAGTGATTTCCAGGTGTAGCTGGAGTGTAAGCGACCTCGAGGTGTAGTTGGAGTGCCAGCGACCTCCAGGTGTAACTGGAGTGTAAGCGACCTCCAGTTGTAGCTGGAGTGTAAGCGACCTCCAGGTGTAGCCGGAGTGTAAGCGACCTTCATGGCACGTTTACCCAGAGTGTAAACGACCTTCATAGCAAGTGCAGCCGGAGTATAAGCGACCCCAAGGCAGGTGTAACAGGAGTGTAAGCGACCTCCAGGGCAGGTGTAACAGGAGTGTAAGCGAATTCCAGGGCAGGTGTAACAGGAGTGTAAGCGACTTCCAGGGCAGGTGTAACAGGAGTGTAAGCGACTTCCAGGGCAGGTGTAACAGGAGTGTAAGCGACCTCCAGGGCAGATGTAACAGGAGTGTAAGCGACCTCCAGGGCACCTCCAGGGCAAGTGTAACAGGAGTGTAAGCGACCTCCAGGGCAGGTGTAACAGGAGTGTAAGCGACCTCCAGGGCAGGTGTAACAGGAGTGTAAGCGACTTCCAGGGCAGGTGTAACAGGAATGTAAGCGACATCCAGGGCAGGTGTAACAGGAATGTAAGCGACTTCCAGGGCAGGTGTAACAGGAGTGTAAGCGACCTCCAGGGCAGGTGTAACAGGAGTGTAAGCGACTTCCAGGGCAGGTGTAACAGGAATGTAAGCGACCTCCAGGGCAGGTGTAACAGGAATGTAAGCGACATCCAGGGCAGGTGTAACAGGAATGTAAGCGACTTCCAGGGCAGGTGTAACAGGAGTGTAAGCGAATTCCAGGGCAGGTGTAACAGGAGTGTAAGCGACTTCCAGGGCAGGTGTAACAGGAGTGTAAGCGACCTCCAGGGCAGGTGTAACAGGAGTGTAAGCGACCTCTGATGTAGTCGTGTTTTCCACTGTAGTTTCTCCCGGATTTAGCGACATTCGGGAAAGTATTTCGATATCTTACTGTAACACCATTGACATCATCTTTAAATGTTACAGCTTACTATATTTGCTATTGACATTTCCACACCTTGCTATATTATCGATAATGAAGGCATATGTTGCTATAATATAGCTTTCTATATTATCGGTAATGTACTGATATGTAATACATTATTATTATTATTGCAGTCAGAGCTAAGCGCTAAACCCACAAGGGTTATATATATTTATTTCTGTGAATGGCGCAGAAAATTGCAGTAACTGGAGTACCTGGAGAGAGTTCCGGGGGTCAACGCCCCTGCGGCCCTGTCTGTGACCAGGCCTCCTGGTGGATCAGAGCCTGATCAACCAGGCTGTTACTGCTGGCTGCACGCAAACCAACGTACGAGCCACAGCCCGGCTGGTCAGGAACTGACTTTAGGTGCTTGTCCAGTGCCAGCTTGAAGACTGCCAGGGGTCTGTTGGTAATCCCCCTTATGTATGCTGGGAGGCAGTTGAAGTCTCGGGCCCCTGACACTTATTGTATGGTCTCTTAACGTGCTAGTGACACCCCTGCTTTTCATTGGGGGGATGGTGCATCGTCTGCCAAGTCTTTTGCTTTCGTAGTGAGTGATTTTCGTGTGCAAGTTCGGTACTAGTCCCTCTAGGATTTTCCAGGTGTATATAATCATGTATCTCTCCCTCCTGCATTCCAGGGAATACAGGTTTAGGAACCTCAAGCGCTCCCAGTAATTGAGGTGTTTTATCTCCGTTATGCGCGCCGTGAAGGTTCTCTGTACATTTTCTAGGTCAGCAGTTTCACCTGCCTTGAAAGGTGCTGTTAGTGTGCAGTAATATTCCAGCCTAGATAGAACAAGTGACCTGAAGAGTGTCATCATGGGCTTGGCCTCCCTAGTTTTGAAGGTTCTCATTATCCATCCTGTCATTTTTCTAGCAGATGCGATTGATACAATGTTATGGTCCTTGAAGGTGAGATCCTCCGACATAATCACTCCCAGGTCTTTGACGTTGGTGTTTCGCTCTATTTTGTGGCCAGAATTTGTTTTGTACTCTGATGAAGATTTAATTTCCTCGTGTTTACCATATCTGAGTAATTTAAATTTCTCATCGTTGAACTTCATATTGTTTTCTGCAGCCCACTGAAAGATTTGGTTGATGTCCGCCTGGAGCCTTGTAGTGTCTGCAATGGAAGACACTGTCATGCAGATTCGGGTGTCATCTGCAAAGGAAGACACGGTGCTGTGGCTGACATCCTTGTCTATGTCAGATATGAGGATGAGGAACAAGAGTACTGTGTACTGAAGGGAGTACTGTGCCTTGTGGAACAGAGCTTTTCACCGTAGCTGGTTTAATTTCCCCACAATTTTGGATGTACTGACATCTGGCGGCGGATTCTGCAATTCTTATACTATATTACGGTATTTTTTTTTTTTTGAGTCTTGACGTATTAATATCGTTTTCATGGAGGAGACAACTTCCGGTTGTTTAATTGTTCTTTGTAAATTGACCCGAATCTGTTTCCGTTAGAAAGTTAATGAGTGTCTGTTTGTAGGTCAGTCTCCGTAGGCAGGTTAAATTAAGACTTTCCGAGGGAAACAGACTTAACTCTATTGAAAAATTAACGTTAGTGTCTCTGTGGGTTAGTCTCCACTGAAAAGTTAAAGATACATCATAATCTACACCTGGAAAATCATAGAATCTACCTACCTGGAGGTAGGTAAACTGATTTTCCAGAGAGACTGATCCCAAATCTTCACACATAAATCACTCCCTACGAAAGCAAAAGACTCGGCAGACGGTGCAGCATCGCTCAATGAAAAACCAGGAGTGCTACGAGCACACTAAGCATTCATAAAGGAGATTGTAAATAGACCCCTGGCCGTCTTCAGGAAGGAGCTGGACAGATAACTAAAGTCAGTGCCCGATCATCCTGGTTGTGGTTCCTACGTTGTACTATGTGCGCCAGCAGTAACAGCCTGGTTGATGAGGCCCTGATCCGCTGGGAGGCCTGGTCAAGGACCTGGCCGCGGGGGCGTTAACCCCCGGAACAACTAGGTTGACTAGTAGCGCCTCTGTGGATTAGTCCCCGTTGGAAAGTTTGAAGGTTTTCGTTGTAAGTTTTTGTTGGAAAGTTAACGTGTTTATGTGTTTGTCTCTTAGAAAGTTATATGACACGTCCATCATTAGAAAGCCCTCTAATAACATTAATAGTTGGCGACTCGTTTAGAAAGCGAGTTCACCCTTTTTCTGTTTAGTATCTGTTGGAGAACAAATCTTAATTTCCGGTCATCAAGAAGTCGCCAACAGAGAACTTTCGGTTGGTAGCGAACTTAGCTTACATAGTGAGAGTCCGTTTCCACCCTGGCAAGGGTGGAAACTTTGGGAAAGTTTCCTTACACTTGCTGCCCATGTTCACCTAGCACAAAGTAGGTACCTGGGTATTAATCGACAGTTGAGGGTGGCATCCTAGTGGGTAGAATACCTCAGATAGGACTAGGCTTTGAAATGAGTTGAGGTAAGATAATTTCATTAGCATGATTAATTACAGAATAATCCACATTAGCTTTTATATATGAAGTGATACATAAAGAAAGCAATGTATGAGAAGGGAACAATGAAAATAGATCACAGAATACATGAAAAGAATAATAGCAGACAAGGAGAGTAATTATGGTAAGTAGCGACTAGTCATTTCTTCGTTATGTAACTGTGTATGTAAATATTGGTGTGGTAGATAGAGGCAGACCAGACTCACCTGGTATATTGGAATCCTTGCAGTACTGGTCGACCAAGTGAATAAACACGTACATCAGCCGACCCATCTGTAAACATAACATTGAACATGTTAGTGACTTGTCATCAGTCTCTCTCTCTCTCTCATGACACAGGCAAACTTCATGAATAAACTTCAGTTTTCAGTTTTCCTGAAATAAAGAGGCTAATGCATACCTTTTCCTGACGAGTGAGGAGTTCCCAGATAGGGATGGCTGACGAAGAGACTAGAGTGCCAAGTGTCAGCACTACGAGAACTTTCAGTGCCAGCATCTTAACAAGTGTCTTGGGGGGGGGGGAGAGGCTGCCGAGGTTTTTATCCGTGGGAGGAAGACCTAATAAATGAGTCGAGGAGGAATACCCTTGAGAGTAATCTTAAGTAGCAGCAATGTAACTTGGGTTAAGGATGAAGACCTTTTGAGGGTGTTCTGGCTTGATTGGCAGGACTTGTCGAGGACGATAGGATGCACAGAGTCCAACGAGTGCACGTTATAGAAGTCCGACGAGCGAATTGGTCCAAGGAGGCACAGAATACCGGGCTAAAGCTACCAAGAAACTGTCAGTGGTTGGTGGTGTACGGCTCTTATATGGCCTCCCGCGGGCCCGCGCTCCATTGCCAAGTCTTCAGTGGCCTTGCTAATGTCACCGGCATTTTTCAAAACATTTAAAAAATACACTAGTCGCGCTCTTTTAAATACCTTCTTTAAGCAAAATTAACTTAGGGGTGAACGACAAAGTTGCATAAATATTTTTTTTTAGTATCATTAATATGGATGATTTGGCATATCCGGGGACTGGAGCGGGTTTGGAGGGGGAATAGTTGGGGAAGAACATAGCTGCCATTCCACAAGACCCAAACAAACCCCAAACAATTGTACGCGTGTCGCCTCTCTGGCGCCCACACCACAAAGTGAATCACCGCTGGGTAGAACGATCCCACAACCCCAGACCCGGAGTCGTTATCTTGGCTACAGTAACACTCAGTTAGGCTGGCCTGGAGTCGTTATCTTGGCTACGGTAACGCTCAGTTAGGCTGGCCTGGAGTCGTTATCTTGGCTTCGGTAACACTAAGTTAGGCTGGCCTGGAGTCGTTATCTTGGCTACGGTAACACTCAGTTAGGCTGGCCTGGAGTCGTTATCTTGGCTACGGTAACACTAAGTTAGGCTGGCCTGGAGTCGTTATCTTGGCTACGGTAACACTCAGTTAGGCTGGCCTGGAGTCGTTATCTTGGCTACGGTAACACCCTCAGTCATTCTGCCCTGGAGTCGTTATCTTGGGTACGGTCTGTAATAATAATAATTAAAAATAATGATATAATAATAATGATGATAATAATAATAATCTGAGTAATTGTTATAATGAGTAATACATTTGACTATAAACATGTTTCAGAGTTACTTTAAAGGTGCGCCAGTTTTTATAAATGTACATCAGTCTCCTTTCATAAAGGTGCATTAGCCTTCATTTATAAAGGTGCATCAGTCTTCCTTAATAAAGGAGCGTCAGTATTGCTTTATAAAGGTGCGCCAGTATTGCTTTATAAAGGTGCGCCAGTATTGCTTTATAAAGGTGCGCCAGTATTGCTTTATAAAGGTGCGCCAGTATTTCTTTATAAAGGTGCGTCAGTATTGCTTTATAAAGGAGCGTCAGTATTGCTTTATAAAGGTGCGCCAGTATTGCTTTATAAAGGTGCGCCAGTATTGCTTTATAAAGGTGCGTCAGTATTGCTTTATAAAGGTGCGTCAGTATTGCTTTATAAAGGAGCGTCAGTATTGCTTTATAAAGAAGCTTCAGTATTTCTTCATAAAGCACATCATGAGAGTATGACCAAGTCTCCTGACACAGCCAACCAATTCAACCATAACAAAAAAAAAATTCTCAGGCTTTAGTACACTTGCTAGTTAATGTTCCCTTGATGCCAGTCCGAGTGCATAGTTGCCTGCGGAAGAAACTGCCTTGGACCAGACAGGAAGCGATGACAAGGTATTCATGGAGCAGTCAGGCCACAGACACGGCCTTTTCCGCCTACAAGCAGGAAGCCTACCTACGGTATGTGTCCTTTGTAATGTATTCTATTTTCGCCCATTGCTCTCTTGAGGTTATTGTTGAATAGCCTACATTCGTATGTTGTTCGCTGAGGTTATTGTTGAATATACTTGTCATTTTCACTTATTATATTTGTTAGTATCTGTATTAAAGTAGCACTTTCAAGGGATCTCTTCCTAATTGTGTATTTTATGGAAAGCTGTCCTGAAAAGTGTTGGGAAGGTCGTATCTATTATTGTTGTGGTGGTGGTGAGAATCTTCACTGTCAAGACATTTCCAAGACTGCTTGAAATGTATTCACTGTTGAGTTGGTGTCATTATGTCGACTTGATTCTAATATGTCCGTATATAAAGCTTCATACTATGTGTATTATGTTTATTTTCCCAAAAATTCGTAGTTCCTTAATCGTAGGTAATTTGAGGGGCATTTCACAAGGGAAGGCTGTTACCCCCACATATTTCTTGTTTTTTGTCCAAAACATTAGTTTCTAGCTTGTTATAGTTCTAGAAGTTCTATAGGAAGTAGGGAACTAGAAATAGAAACATGACTGACTATATGACTACGAGTGTGGGTATACAAAGTAAAATCTGACGCATCGGTCCCGCCTGTGATGACATTCCTTGTTGACATTTCTCTTTACTTAACTTTGTGATTTATTAAAAGAATGAAATATATGTTCTGTATTTGTTTCAGTAGCTTTCATTATTAAATTTGATAGACATGGCAGGAAGAAGGTTACATAAAAATTGTGTAATCCATTGTTAGTGAAAGCCTGATAGGTTTTGGCCAGATTTGAAAATTCGTTGCAGACTTTTTTTTTTTTAAGTACTAATAACTCTGGTAGTTAGAGTAACTTAAACAAAAAATAGAAGAAGTTGCTCGCAATCGAGAAGGACTGGGACACTTATCCATGCTGTTTAAAAGACGCGAATATTACTAATTAATGAAGAACAAAAAGGCACAGCACCATGACTGGAACAAGACACAAATTACCCGCACATAGGAGAAAGTCGGACCGAAACGTCAAGTTTCTTTCTCCTGTGTGCGAGGTATTTGTGTTACTAATTAATGCTAACTTATGCAGTTTATAATGCTGCATGACCTGTGTGAGTTGACAGAGTCTTCAGGAATATAATATTCATCAGATTATTATTATTATTATTATTATTATTATTATTATTATTATTATTATTATTATTATTATGTTCGCGGGGAGAGCTAAACCTGTAGGGGTCATACAGCATCTGGGGGAATAGAAGGCATTCAGACTTGATTCAGGGAATTGGAGCACAGGTCCAGTTCGTTAGATCAAGAGCCCCTCACCAGCATCAAGGAATCTTACATGAGTAGGAACTAGTTTTCACCAAGTCTACCTGTGCCAGACATATTTTCTGGTTAGGATATGCGAAGCCAAAGTCCCACCTTTTACCTTTGATGAGTTCAGACTTTTTCTACTCCGGAGCCCGGCCTTGGGCCAGGCTTGTCTGGTGTTTGCCTTATCAACCAGGCTGTTGCTGCTGGTGGTCCGCTGCCCACATATCCATCACAGCCTGGTTGATTTGGCACCTGCTGAAGATTCCCACTGTGCTATACAATCACTTTGTTTTTTATAAAACGGTCCCTTCAAGGGCGGTGTCCTGATTCTGGTGAAGGGCTCTTGATCTTATTTATTCGAGCTGGCCTCCCATTCTTTTGATCCAACCTGATTGCCTTCCATACCCAGGACACTGTATGAAGTTTGAAGAGACGCTGAACAAACACTGTAACCCCCTTCCCCCCAAATATATATATATATATATATATATATATATATATATATATATATATATATATATAATATATAATTATATATATATGTTGTGTGTGTGTGTGTGTGTGTGTGTGTTGTGTGTGTGTGTGTGCGTGTGTGTGTGTGTGTCCTACTATTTGCTCACGTGTCTTACTGAACCAATTTGTCGTATCAATTACCAAGGTGTATACCACACTGTATGAAACCTATGGGTTTAGCGCTAAATCTTGATCATAATAAGCATTGTATGACCCTTGTGGGTTTAACGTTTAGTTATAATTATAATAAAAATAATTATTATTATTATAAGGCGGTGGAGGAAGGAATGCATGAGCAAAAGAATTTCTGGGACAATAATCCCGCTAATCCTAATGAGAGGGTTGGAGGTGGGACTGCCCGTCTGTGGAGAAAGGGTTTAGGAAAGAGATGACGGGAGGCAGGAGGGAAGGGAAGGAACGTGAAAGATAGATGAGGAGAGAAGGGAGGGTAGCAAGGTAGAGGAAGAGTCATCGTGGGGAATTCTGGAGTAAGTTGGGTTGAACGGGAGGTGGTGGAGGGGATGGGGGTGTAGGATGCGAGGGTTAGAGGGGATGATGGTTTGGTAGGGGTGGTGTGGAAGGGATTTCGTGTTGTTAGAAATGTTAGTACTAAGAAAGAGGGGAACAGGAAGAAACAAAAGGATAAAGTGGAAAGGGTAAAGCGAGATGGGAGAAGATAGAAAGTGGAGATTGCTGCAAATAACAGTGGATAAAAAAAATCAGGGCTTCTCTAAATAAAGATGGTAAAGGTAATAAGTGAATGAGTTTAATTAGGTCGGAAACTTGATGGATAACAGTATAAACATTGCCTCCACTTTGGTAAAATCATCTGGACAAGCCGAGGACTTCCTGTCCACAAGACTTAATACCTGTGCCCGAGTTCATCTGTAAGTGTAAATCAACAAGACGTGAACTGTGAACTATGAATTTATGTATTCAATTCAGTTTGTTGACGAGACATTATTATCCTTCATGCTAGGTTCCTTGATGCCGGTGAAGGATCCTCGGTGCACGAAATTTGAGCAAATCTTTCCTCTCTTGAATCAAACCTGATTAATCCCCATTCCTCAGCCATTATATAGTCCCTACGTGTTTAGCACTTTCTCATATATGTAATAATAATAATAATAATAATATTATTATTATTATTATTATTATTATTATTATTATATAAAAAATTAACATATGGATTCGTATCTTAAGTTGCATTCAAATTACCAATCTTTTCTAATGCAGTATATTGTATAATTAACCTAAGGTATTCCTTCCTAATTTCACATTACACATTTCAAATAATATTTTTTTTTTCACAGAATTACTCTTACCAATTTACAATACCTTTAATAATTATATATGAATAATTTGTTTACTCGATTTCATATATATATATATATATATATATATATATATATATATATATATATATATATATATATATATATATATATATATATATATATATATATATATATATATTATATATATATTATGTGTGTGTGTGTGTGTGTGTGTGTGTGTGTGTGTGTGTGTGTGTGTGTGTGTGTGTGTGTGTGTGTGTGTGTGACAAGCCACGGGGGTCTTGCATTGTTAAAATCGCCTGTCTGCGTTGTTATATAATTACATTAGAATATAGGGAGGTACCACCTCTGGAACTGTGCTGGGGACCCTCATCCTCAGAGAAAAGATTACATTATATTTAAGATATGACGTAAAGCATGTAGAAAATTAAATGAAACACATTATGAAAATATTTTTTGAGTGAACAAAAAATCATATTTTATATAAAATGAAGAACCTTGATAATTCGTAATATTTCTACGTTTTCTAGGTTTATCAGTAATTTTTTAAGAAATTTATATTTAGTTATAAGTAAGATATTTTTGGTTACAAAGCATTAATTTAGAATAAGTGTTATATATAAAAGAGAGACTAATGCAAGAATAGGGAACATTATTAAAGAAATTTTTACATGATAAAGTTCCCTAATACTGAACAAATTACTTTATACATGTGTCGACATTAGATGCCACATTTACTTCTGGAAATGCGTCACAAAATGCTAGACATAACCATGGACTGTCTGCCTGCACAGCCAAAATGTTATCTATTTTCTGTAAAAGCATTCTATCATGTGGGAATAAATCTTTAACATTGACGAGGTCATGAATATTTAACGACGCAAAATAAGTCTCTTCAGTGCGCTTTGCAAACGGTAAATATCGTTTATGGGACCGTGTATTGCATATACGGAATTAATGCTAGGCTGTAAATAGGCCAGTGTATAATAGTGTATTCACATAAACCGAGGGAGACCTCTATACTTTGTAAAAAATGATATTAAACTAAAAAAAACATGATACATGAGGCAAAATATGTGTGTGGAGAGACCTGGATAGGTTGAAGCAGTGGTCGAAATGGTGCAAAATCAGTCTCAATTTTGACAAGTGTAAAATGTTTCATTGTGGATGATGATGATGATGATAATAATAATAATAATAATTAATAATAATAATAATAATAATAATAATAATATTTATTTCTACTAGTACATGATACAACTTATACAGATATAACAGTCTCAAACACGAATATACACTTAAAACAAACCCGTTACAAGAAGATAAAGGGACCTTGAAATATTCGTAAGTCATGATCTTTAGTGTATTAACTAATAATGTCAGTTTGCGAACAGCATGATCAGTAACGTTCCTTGAGCAGCCTAATTAATAGATTATTCTCTCTCTCTCTCTCTCTCTCTCTCTCTCTCTCTCTCTCTCTCTCTCTCTCTCTCTCTCTCTCTCTCTCTCTCTCTCTCTCTCTCTCTCCCGTGTCTCCGTGGTGCTTCCACCCGGCAGGTTAGAGTAGGATAGTGGGTACCCACCTTCCTCGTTCTGCTGGTCTTGGCAGATATCAAATTTAAATTCGCCTTTGCATTCAAATGTTTGTTGTATTTCCTCGCTCGTATCGTCGAGGGTAAAGGTGAGGAGAGATGACGCTCGTACAACATGATCATCCAATGATCTCTGTGATGTATTATATATATCACCAGTGATCCACCATTATCATTACTACTGATCCATATTCACCATTAATGATCCACTGTTACTATCAGCGATCAACTGTTACTCCTGATCCATCACCACCAGTAATCCACTATCACCACTGACTATCCACCACCACTGATCTATCATCACCACCAGTAATCCACCATCACCACCAGCGATCCATCATCAACTATCCACAACCACTGATCCATCATCACCAGTGATCCACCACCACCGACTATCCACCATCACCACTAAGCCATCATTACTAATATGTTAGTCCAGCATATCCTTTCTCATGTCAGTTCAATTAGTGGCTCTTCA